AATCAATATGACACTTAATTATGAAAATGTTAAGAAAGAATTTATATTTCATTAAACTTTCATACTTTATCTCTTCCATTATTTTTCAATATTTTTTAAACTAAATAATACTTATTCCTATAAATAATAACTTCTCAAAGAAGTAGAAGAATTATAATCAAAAATCCAAATTCCGTAAATAAATTTCTAATAAATAAGAATAGAATGTTGATGGCAATAAAAAAAACAAGGGACATTGCTGTACTTAATACTTCAATGATTGTTTTTTTATTCAAATACTACCATTAATATAGGTCAATATTTAAGCAACCATACATAATTCTACGTACAACTGTCTATTTCATAGACATATCAAATTTTCCAATGCACAAATTATGAAAATATATTTTTTAAATCCTAAATAATAATTTTGCATAAACTTACAATGGATGTATTCTTAAAAAACGATTAAAGAAAAACCAATACAAACAATATTCAAATTTTTTTCCATTTAATGTTTCCTTAACTGATATATTTGTTCTAAACTTAGAAAATAATCTTCTTTGTTTTCATTTAAAAAGTTCTTTAAATTGTAGCTCATATTTTTCTAAATATTTTGCGTAGGAAGAAAATGAATATTGAACGAGTAATTGCCTCTAATAGAACAAAACATTTATTGCCAGAAGATTTTTTTACACTCGATTTCACCTCAAGCTTATAATTAATTTTTTCAGTTATTAGAAAATTCTTTATTCATAATAATCGGTAAGACAACTTTATATTACTGATTATTAAATATCATTAATTATTTAGAAAAGAGAAATCATTCGGAAAAAATGTTAGTTCAACTATTTAATTTTACGAGTGTTTTATTGAACTTACATGATGCAAAATTATTTGCACCTAACCAAAATAGTGATGTTTCATCAATGTTTGCATTTTTTAATAAATTAAATTGTTCACTAGAAAATATTTGAATAAGTATTCCGTTAATCGTTCTATTTAGACATTGATTATATGCATCGGACCATGAAAATAATTTTTTATCATCATAATAACATAAATCATTAGTATTATTAGTAAAAAATGAATTCGAACATTCAATTTTAACTAAATAAAAATAATAATCAAAATTATTTATTTTTTTAAAAAAATGTTTTTTTTTATACCTTGTTCACAATATCCAATATTGAAAAGAAAAATTAGAAGAATCAACTTTGATAGAGTCATGTTAAATTTGAAAGAACACACTGCTCAAGTTCTTCCGTTGTCGTCACCGAGTGTTGTTATCGTCTGACACGGGATATGTTGTGTTTTTGTTAGTATCTAACACCAATAATTATTTTCAGTCCGTCATTTTTGCATGGTTTTCTCTTCCCTCTATCTCTTTCTTTCTTTTTTTTTGTTTTTACAAAACGACTTGTTACTTGTCTAACATCTTTATATTTTCTTTTTTCATTCGCTCGTTTCTACTTTATGAAGAGTTTTATGTTCTTTCTCTTTCTTAGGATGAGTCAATGTCTTACGTTCGCATCTAAGATACCAGTTAATAGCAAGATAATCTACACCACAGGATTATATACAACGAGTAATCTTCAAATGAGTTGTTTTTTTCACCTGTATATATATATAAAATTCATTTTCCGGATATGATAAATCAACTACCATTATCTTTCTTTTTTTCTATTGAATTTTACATTAAATAAGATATTTCAAATTACTTCCGATATAACCAAATCTGTATCATTGATGCGCGTGTCTTAGTTAGACTTGCGTTAGTCTCTTTTACTAATAACTTAAGGTTCGTGTGTGTGTGTGTGTGTGTGTGTATTATGTGACACACTAAATAAAGACTGTAAAAACAGATTCCACTGGCATCTCATGTTATTAACTCCGCATACTATTCTTCGCATTTAATCTTAGATGCACTGACAAAGAAAAATAGAAACGCTGTATGTGACATAAAAGATTTAAAACACAAAAAAAACTCTTGGCTTCAAATTTCCGATTGTAGTAGATAAGAAGGAAATGTTGACAGCAGATAATTCTTTTTTTTTTTTTATAAACATTATAATGAAAACTACGTAGGTGTGCAATTCACTGAATAACATCTTTTGAATTAAAATAATAAATTGGCTTATTTATAGTCTTTTTTTAGTTTCATTTTATTACATGGGATGAAACAAAGATATTATTTGAATATTTAGTTTGTGATGCATTGTGCTTTTTTGGTTCATTAATGGGCTATTAAAATGTCGTTTATTCTTTTAAAAATTCTTCTTGGAATAAATCTATTCCATTTCTCTTTGATTTATTCAATCTCTAAATTTGTCATGTAATTATCAATTATGTAGAAACAACAAAAATTCTGTTTTCATAGATATTTATTTTTCAAGGGTGTAAACTACTTGAATAATCTGAAATATATTTTGTTTCTTAATAAAAAAAAAAATAATGATGCATGGTTGATTCCACGGGATTTATACCACGTTCCTGGAGCAGGTCTTCAATTAGTGTTTTGATTCGCTAATTTTCCGATGGGAACGTAAAAAAGTTGATATAGCACGAAGAAATCAAAATCACAAGCTGGCAACTTTGAGATTTTGCCAAAATGTGAGGTACATGTATAACTAATTTGTATATAAAATTCGTGATTTTTTCAGAGAAAAACTCGAGAAAGTTCCTAGTAACTGTAGACGTTCTTCGTATTTTGACAAAATCTTAAAGTTGACAGCTTGTGATTTCGATGTGTTCGTATTATATTAACTTTTCACGCTGTCATCGGATAAAAGCAACATATTTTTAGCGATAGTCTTCGATTTTTTCTAACACAACAATGAATATTTCGTAAATCGACGCGTTTTCCAAAAAGTAGTATAAACTCCATGGAATTACTCGTATACAAATAGAACAGATTAATAACGTAACATGATTAAACTCTTGTATGGATCAGTTTCTCAAAAAAAAAACAAAGCGGAAAACATTGATTATGTAAAGAAATAACAGATGATTATCAATACTTATACTATATGTAAATAAAGGAGAAAAAGCACTTCAATCTCAAATGACTTTAGAGCAAAATAGACTGGTCGAATATAATGCATTACAAAGAATATGAAATCGTTTTAGAATAGAAAGTTTTAATAATTGTATAACCAATAAATTATCAGAGAAGTTGAAATAATTTGAATTAATCTAATCAATTAAGAACGTGTTTAAATGTCTTCAAATTGGAACGTACTCAAGTGTAAATTTTTCTTTTTTTTTTTTATCATCTAGTATAAACAATCGAAATAGTCGAGAAAGTGGATATTATATGTGAATTAGATGTTCATATCAACTCTTGATAAAAAGAATTTATCTGTTTTCATTTTCTTTTGATTATATTTGTAAATATTCTTCTTATATCAAAATCATGTAATGTTCATCATAATACAACGAAAACTACATATTCATAAACGTCTATAAAAGTTTATCTATGGATAAGATTAACAAATACAACATACAAGCGACCAATTAGAACAAAAGTCACAAAGATAAATAATCCGATATGTTGCTAAGTAACATTGATAAGTGTGTGAATTAAAGTATGTTATCAATATTACGAAATTGATAATAGATAGACGTATATATGTTGTAATATATCACGAATATATTTCGTAAATTCGTTCTCTGAAATTTTGATGTAACAAAATATCAAATTTAAAGTGTAAATTAGATTTCTAAACAATTCATCACTCAAGAAGAAAGACTAAAAGTATGCTTTGTGAAATAGTTCGAGAGCACTATGTTTCAAAATATTCAAATTGTAATTTTTACTTTCTATCAAAAGCTGCTGTCAAGGGTGTCTCGCAGTCACGAAGATTCGGAGAGGAGGAGAAAAGAGTCGACCCTTGTTGTAAGAATTTGTGAGTCAAAAAACGAAGAAAATCGTACAGTTTTGTTGTGGAAAAAGGAGACAAGATTAGTGATTCTCTAATCACAGGAAATTTTCCTTTTTCTTTAGTAAAACTGCAGGATTTTCTTCGTCTTTCTTTTTTTTTTGCATCAGTAATTTCCGTAACAATGGTCGACTCGATCTCCTGAATTGTCTTGCCTTATTCTTTTGAACTCGAACCACTTCTGTTTTCAGAACATCCTTTAAGAGTAAAACAGAGAAGAATACAAAAATGATTTGACAAGATGTTTAGTATTCTTATCTATAGTTGAAAGTATTTTCTCTTCATACTAATTAATATAACACTGATTGCATTCATAATTAAGATAACTGTTATAGTTTATTTTCAAAAATCTATTCTAAGTTTTATGCATTTCTATTGAGATGATTCTGCTGATTTGTCATAAGATAATTTTCTAGGTAATTCAACAGAATGACTAAATCTTTTTCTGTCTTGTGATAGGTCAAAATACGAAAAAAAAACAAAAAATGAAGGTTTGTAAAAAAAATAAAAACGAATGTAAAAAACAACCTAGGGATAAAGATAATCGCGGAACGTGTAACTATCATTAGTATGCCAGTATGGTATGTGCATACTAAAAATTTTTCGTTTATATCTTTTTATTCCTTTTTGTTCTTTTTGTCTGTCTTGTCTTTTCAAATATTTCACGAATACTGAAAGTAATAATATGAATCAACCAGCAAAACGATGTCGTTTTTCTACAATTACACCGTCGTCCACATTGAATGAATTCGTATGTATAACTATTATGTTTTTTTTTTCTATTCGTTGTTGATGATCATTGTCGTTCGTTCATTTTTGTTTGTTGTTGTTCGTCGGATGTAATTATGCAAAGATATGGGACATAAACGAAAAGAGAAAGAAAGAGTATGTGAATGTGTGTATGTGTGTGTGTTTGTGGAAATGATCTTGATGACTTTTGTGACCGATCATAATCCTTATTCTAATGATGACACAATCGGAGAAATGAAAAGCATAGGCAACTTATTATCTTATATGATCAGTATAGTTAGTTCATTGTTCCTATTTGACATATTATTTATTTCATATTGATTTTAATCAATGTTTGATACTTGTTCAATATTCGACAATGATTGTTGTACATGTTGTTTTATGGTATGTTCAGTGATGTGTTATTATTATTTTTTTTTCGAAGAAAACGAATGAAAAAAAAAAACGTTTGACATAATGATGAATCGTATCTCCATCGAAACATTGAATGAAGATAAGAAGAGAAAAAACGTGCAAGAATGATGATAATGTCAGTGGCATCATTCTTCATTTTCATTTTGTTTATTTATTTCAAGAAATGATATGAGAAGAGAAAGAAAAAAAATTAGTCTGGATCTATTAGTGGAAATTTTCTATGGTTGTAGGCGTTTCAACATAGATATATAAATATATGGGAATCAGAAGATTTTTTCATTTACTCTATAAGAAGAAAAGAGTAATATGTATACATTTGTCTCGGACAGTGATTATGATAACTTCAAAGATAGAATCGTTTTTTTTTCGTTTTATTTGAAGCGAACCGATTAGTCAATCTAATGTCTGTCACACTTCAAATTTATGTTTCATATAAATATGATGAGTGTTCATAGTCTTTTTTTTTGTTTCTTTTTATTCCAGTTACCATCAATGCGAACAACAAATATGGAACGAGCTACACTTAAAATTGAAATTCCATTTACTGATCATGCTCATTGTATTGGACGACAAGGAAATCAAATTCAAAGTATCATGTCAGCAACGGATACACATATTCATTTTCCTGATGGAAATCGTGAGCCAAATGGTACTAAATCGAATCAGGTATTGAATAAACATGATTAAAATTCAATAATAGATAGATAGATAGATAGATCATCTTGAATAGGTATCAATAACAGGAACAGTATCATCAATTGAAGAAGCTCGAAAACGTATAAGAGAAATTTTACCAATGTCATTAAAATTTCTTATACCACCAACAGAATTAATTAATATTATTAATGATGATTATCCATTATTTAAAAATGTTCGTACACGTTTTGGTGTTATTGTTTTACCACGTCCATATGCTAAAACTGGTGATGTTTATTGTATTGTTCGTGGACTGTAAGTAAAAAAAAAAAATCTTTCTCACAATAAAAAAGAAAATGTCGGTATTTTTTTTTGTTAACAATTTTTTATAGTATTAATCAACCAGGTTTAGCTGAAGCAACTGAATATTTAATTCAAGCATTTTATGGTTTTGAAGCACCATTAATAAAAGTAACATGTCAAACAGAAGTTAGTGAACAATATCATGTTTATTTACAAACTCGTCAACAATCAAAAGATATGTGCATAGCAGCTATTGAACAGTATACACATACAACAATACAATTTCCAACAATGATTAATTCAAATTTATCACAAGATAATACAAATAATTATGGACGTCGAACATCAGTTATTATATCAGGATCTCCAACACAAGTTTGTCAAGCACGAAAATTATTTGATGTAAAAATAATTTGTTTTTGTTTTTGTTTTTTTTTGAGTTGTATGAAACATGATCTAAAAGGGATGTCTAAGTATAAGAATAAAAATTTGAATACTCCCTACAGACTATGACAGACACCTTATGAGAGAACGTTCCTAAGTGTCAAATCGCTTTTGAGTCGAATCTTTGTGCATCATATGGATTCTAATAAGCTATGAATATCCAAAAAAAGGGTTCGAGCTAATAGTTTACGGCTGCCAAGATACTGTATTTTTAGCAAAATCCCATGATCACCTTTAGGAACACCAGGAAAACTGAATTTCAAATTTCGACTTAAAAATTTGAACAGAGACGGATTTTAAAGAGAATAACTTATTGCGAAAGTTTCGGATTGTTCGATTGCACCTATACTGAAATAAGAACATCGGAATGGGCCGTTTGTATATAAGCAGCATGAAGAACATGCTTTTATCATAGCTGTATCTTAGGATAGAAGCAATTAGAAGATCTGAAGCTTTTACAATAATCTATTCTCATTAAAGTCTGTCTCTATGCAAAGTTTCAAGTCAAAATTCAAAACTCTGCTTTCCTGATGTTTCTGAGAAGGACCACGGCATTCAGCTAAAAAACTACTATAAGAATGGAATATCCCAGTAGTAACAAATTATTAGTTCAAAATCTTTGCAGAAAATTCATAGTTCATTAGAACCTACATGATGTACATAATTCCGACGAGCTCTAGTCGTCTAAGAAATGTGTAGAATATGTTAGTCACTGAGTCTAAAACATCAAGACAAGTATCTCATATCTTCGGAGCAATTGTCCAATTTCGATTGGAAAATTTCATTGAAAATATTAAATTACGCTTCGATTGGATCCAGCTCCGGGTTCAAAAAAGTTTGATCAACCAAGTCCGGGTCCACAGATTATGACAGACATTGTTGATATACGATTATAGACCATATATTAAGAACATCTCGTTATAATATATGAACTACTTCCTTATTGCATTTCTAAAGAATATGTTTCCCAAAATAGATAGAATAAAATAATCTCTCTATGGTTAGCAAGAGCAGTTACACTGTGTTTTACTCTTTAATCTCATAGGAATTATGCAAACAACTTTTTCAAATTAAAGTTTTATTTTATTTTCCTTGTTTTAGCTTTGTTTACCAGTTATTCTAAATTTTGAAATACCCATTGATAAAGAACCGACTCGTGGTATGTATTTTATTTAATAATTCTATATTAATTTGTTCGTTATATTTAGCTCAAACTGCTCATATTAAAGATAAACTTAATGTAACAACAACTGTTCGAACACGTAAAGATAAAATTGGCAAAGTGAATATATATTCGTTTTTCAAATTAAATCTAATCAAATCTTTTCTTAAAAATAGTTAGTTACTGTTCAATCACAAGAATATAATTGTGATCAATTATTTCGAGCTCGTGCTATTATTCTTGGTTTATCAGAATCAACTAATAATCATATTTTACCAATTAATACAAATGCATTATTTGATCTGAGTAAAGTTTTCGTCTTATGTAAAGATATTTAAAGTAAAATCAATTCTTTCTTGTTTTTTTTTATACAGATCAAACATCAACATTTTTATCTGATCTCTCTTGTGAGCGTAACTTTTTTTCTGATAGAGACAATTTAGAATTTAATTTAAATAATTTTTTTTTCCTAGTTCCAACTGCATCGTCATCATTATTTCTTACTTCATCTTCAGCAGCGACGACGACAACAAATCATATGACCGATAGTATATTAATTCCAATTGAACCTTGTTATATACCACCAACACAACAAATTGATACTGTGCTTGTACCAATGTAAGTGATTTGATTTTTAATTTTAAGTTTTCATCTTATTGATTGAAGAGTGGAAACAAGTACAGCTAAGAAACCATCACCAATTGGTCATGAACGTTCATCATCACGAAGTGAAAAATAATAATAATTTTTTTTTTTTGAAAATTGGTTTATTTTTGTTTTTTTTATAGATCTTGATCAAGAAAGTATCATTTGGCCAACCAATAATGATCGAATTCCATCAGTAAATTATTTTAAATAGTAAAATTTTAATCTTAATATAGGATTTTAGCTTTTTGTTTTTGATTCATCGACACAACAAACATTAAAACCGACTGATATTAATAATTTAGAATCAATTGACAGTAAATTTTAAATTTGATTTATGATAAATTTTTTATGATTTTAATTAAGATACTTTGGCTTTTCCAATACAAGATAATTGTTCGACAAAATTATTGACATTACTTCGTTCACTTAATTTAGAAAAATATTGGTCAACATTTGAACGTAATGAGGTATTTTATTCTTTACTGTATTAACTAACAAAAAAAATTTTTCGAAACATCTAGATTGACTATTGCACATTTCTTTCTATGACGGATCATGATTTGACTCAAATTGGTATTGAAGCTTTTGGAGCTCGTCGTCGTATGCAACAAGCTATTGCAGGTAGAATTTTAAGAGAAGAATATAAAATTTATTTTCATTTTTATAATGAAAATAAGAATTGCCATATAGACTATGCCAGATTCTTTAGTAAAGAGTCTTGTCTTTTTCGTTACCTATCATAATCAACATAGCTTTTTATGACTATTGAATTTCGTGGCAGAGCCAAATCTGGGCTTAATCCACGATGTGAGCTTCTATGGGCGAGTGACTACACTGTTCGACACGTATCCACAATGTACGATGTCCAATCCTCAGTGCAATCAGCCATGGGATGATCCTGCATAAGTCACTAGTGACTATTTGTCTCAGACCATCTGCCTGATAATATGGTGACTATGTTGAGACATACACTTGTTCCTTGCGTTAGCTCCAAATTCGAACTCGACGGAGTAAAATTGTCTGAAAAATATGTAGAGTGCGCTACTCATTGGATACAAAAAATTGGAAAAAAAGTATCTCATATTTTCGGAATGCTTATCCAATTTCAATAAGGCAGTTTCATTGAGAGTATCGAAGTACAGTTCAACCGGGTCCAAAAATTTTACACTCATCGGGTTTTAGTGGCTAGTAAGTAGGTATGGAGAACTCGAGCAATTGACTACAAGAACTCTGCGCCAGGCCGAGCTTCTGTCGAGAGCTACAGTTAGTATTTGTTGTAGGAAAGATATTGAGCTACTGAGTCTGTTGTTAGGCAACACCCTATAAATCAAGATAGCCGGAAGGCAGAGATATTCTTTCTTCTCTCAACTCATCATGAACTGAGATACTGACTTTGCTACTAGTTGAATACTATAATTTGATAATAAAATTCTTCTCTCATTTATGTTCAAGTTCTCTAGTTATCCATGAGTTTGCAAAGTCGATGCTAGCTTTCTATACTGACAAATATTTATCAACCTAAGCATAGTAACTAATAAACAGAAAGACTCATTTCTAAATTATTTCATATACAGTAGAAGACATTTCTTTGTGTTTCATATTTTAATTTGATAAGAAATTCATTAAGAGTTTTTCCTCTTTTATTTAGACCATGCTTTGGCCAATATCAATCGATATTAATAATAATAATCATCATCATAGACTCACACAAATCATTTCAAATAATCAAACAGCTTTCGACTCAAGCATTAATAATCCATTACCATTACTTATCGACGATGCGAACAATCCTATTACTTATTTACCACTACTTTCGCTTTTGTCTATTTAATCATTCTTATTTCTTGTGTAGATATATATGATAGAGAATGTTTTTCTTTTTCTTTTTTTTTTTTGTTTTAAAAATGTATATAGAAATCCTCACTTTTGTCTTTCATTTAATCGGGAAAAAAAAGTATACTTAATCAGATGATTTGTCTTTTTCAATCAAAGTTGAATGAAGTTTTTTAAATGATATATTCTCAGTTTTTGATGGTATATAAAAATGAATATAAGTTTGATCATCGAATAGTTCATTGTTTTGAGGAATATCAGGAAGAATTCTAAATAAACATTCATTACCATATATATATATATATGCCCATAAATGTTTTATTTAAAAAGATTTAACTAACATTTTTTTAATATTATCAATTGTTGTATGAGTAAATAAATTACTTGAAAGAAGATTATGTTCAGGTGATGGAATATATTTTGGACAACCTGGTTTATGTCGATGAATATGTTCAGATGAATGAGTTTTAATAGAAGCTGCAGAAAATTGTTTTGATGTTATTAAAGGTATTTCTGATTTAATTTCATTATTATTTGAAAATAAATTTTCTTTGGAAAATGTTTGTTTTGTAGTATTAGTATTAAGTGGTAATGTTATTGTTTTATCTAAAACTTAAATTATTTATAGAAATATTAATTTATCAAAAGTTTTTTTTTTGATATGACTGAAATTTGAAATAATAGATTTTGATTTTAGTATTACTTCTATTGGTATTTCAAAAGAAATAAATATCATAATCAACAGTAGTTGTTCATTTTTAGCTCGAATTTATACCGAAAACAATCTGAAGAAATTTATAGCATGCCTTAAAAGTCCACTGTGAAGAACAATCTGGTAAGATTCGTTTTTACTTTATATGTGTCGATAGATCATTCAAATGAATAGCGAATTTGTTAGTAAAAAATGAATTTTCTCGATTGTTCATATTCTCTAGCATTAGTGTTAAAATTTGACAACTTCAACTCGATCTGGTAAATTTTCTTCGTAAAGTTATCGGATGTTTTATACCTCACATAGTTGGATTGGAAGATATTTAGTCATTATTTGGTGAGCTATTGTTCGTGGAATCCATTAAACTGTTGTAACAAGCTGAACAGTCGATAGTAGCTCCCAAGTTAAGAGACATGGACCAGTTCCGATCGATATATGGTAGGAACTTAGGAACAGGAATCCGATGACCGACTCTGTTAGGTTCCGAGAGAAATAAGAAAAATCCGTCAATTGGACTCCCACTTCCAAGTTTCTGCCATTTTCCTATGCTTTTCGGCGGAAACTCACCGGAATCATTAATTTTGGTTTCTTTTTGCAAGCATCATAAACTTTGTCGAGTTTTTCGTCTTTAATTTTTGAAGATCTTTCAAAACTTTTTTCGATTTGTTACTGTACCAGTTTCATAAAAGAGCTGAAAAGTATTTCTAATACAGTCTACGTCTGCCATTTATATGGTAAATTCGACCTCTATTCTTCGTTTCACAATGACATATGATTAGAATCCGTCAGAATATTTAGAATAAAACTTCTAAGAACATCTTATCATAATATTGCAAAAATGATATAAATCATTTAAATTGGCTCTTTTTTAGTGAAGCAAACTTTTGAGACAATCTGTATAAGAACTAAATTCTGTGCTATATCAATATCAAATCAGTTAAACTAAGAAAAACAAAAAGATCTTGAATGAACATACTTTCTGGTTTAATTTGAACAATACGTTTTTTATGATATCGTTGAGTAGCTAAACATAAAATAAGAGATATAATAAATAATAGACTACTAAGTATGCTAAGAATAAGTATCATTATATCGATTAAATCCCATCGATCTATTAATATTAAAATTTATAATGAAATATAAAATAAAATTTTTTTTAGTTACTTAATCTTGGGAATATAATTGTTGAAGAATTATCATCTAAAGAAAGTTCTAATTACTAGATATATTCATATACATCAACAAAAAAAACATTACTTTTAACATTAATTCCAATTCGACATATTCGATTATTATCTTGAAATAAATCTTCATTTCTTAATGTATCAGGTATTATAATACAACCATATTCTCGATTATTTTCTTCTTTATTTATTGATTTAATTGTATAAATAATTGAACGTTTCCAATTCAATGTTATATTATTATCTATTTTAAAATCTTTTATTTCATTCAAATAATTTTGATCAATAATTTTATATATAAAATCATTTTCTTTAATATAAAATGTAAAATTAATTATTGGTTGATAATTATCTAAATCATCATAATTTAAAAATTCATATTCAATTGTACATGTTATTTCAAATGATTCATCTATATTAACTGTTACATTTCTTGTACAATTAACTATTAATTTAAAAAAAAAAACAAATAAAGTTTTTTTCATTAAAAGAATTAATCAATTTTCTCACGGGTACTTTTTTTCGAGAGTATACCAAAGTTTACATCGACTTTATCGAAATGGAATGAAACTTTCAAAGTTTATAGGATTTGGATCTATAAGCATAGCTATAGCTTCAAAAAAATTTCAAAACCTTACAAAGATGGCAGGCAGGTTGGGTTATCCAGTCAGGATAGACCTTGTCTAGCTCTTCTATCTCAAATGATAGTAGTCTAGAAATTTTCCAATAGGTACTAGTTGTTACAATGATCATTTTTTGTAGTGAATCTTTTTTTCTTGTGTGTTGTATTTTTCGGACTCAACTATCTCTGTGAAGTTCAAATAGAATTTCAACTTTTGTTAGTGCTCTAGAATCAGTGAACTATTCTCTATCTAACGCTCAAATTTCCAAATCTGTAGTTTGCTCTTGGACCAAATGACAAGGACACCTTTGAAACGTACTTTTGAATTTTTCGCAATTTTACATCCCATAAGGAAAAAACTACAGCATTCCCAAAAACCTATCCTATAGTGGAATTTCATTAGCACATCTAACCCTATCATTCCTGAAATTTTTGCCCTTGGCAAATGCGATATGATCGAGAAAACTGATCTTGAACTGTTTTGAAGAAAATAACAGTTACAACTATTAAAAATGTCATATAAAAACGTCAAGGTTGCTCTTCTCGGCCAAATCACATTGATTAAAAAGGAAAATTTCAAGAATGATACAGCTAGGTGTACTAGCGTAGGTCCACTATAAGATAGGTTTTGGGAATTTCGTGGCTTTTTTTTCAGGAGATGCAAAGTCGCGAAAAATTCACAGGTAGGTTTCAAAGGTGCCCTTGTCATTTGGTTCAAGAGCAAACTACAGATTTGGAAGTTTGAGCGTTAGGTAGAGGGTAGTTAAACGATTCTAGAGCACTAACAAAAGTTGAAATTCTGTTTGGTGATCATAGAGACACTTGAACTCAAAAAATAAGACACATGAGAGAAAAATGTCCGTTATAAAAAAATGATCATCCTAACAGCTAGTATCTATGGTAAAATTTTCAGGCTTGAAATAGAAGAGCTAAACAAGGTCTATATGAACTGGATAACTCAACATGGCTCCATCCTTTGGAAGATTTTCAAATTTTATTTTCGAATCCATAACTATACTTATAAACATGAGTTCTACAAGCTCTGAAAGTTTCATTCCATTCTGATAGAGTTGATATAAACTCTGGTAGACTGTCGAAAGAAATACTCTTACTTGATTTAGTTGAAAGACGAATTAATCGATATATATCATGTAAAATATCATCACCTTGACTTAAACCTGATTGTGCATGTAAACTAATTTCTGTATAAAGTAGATTTTCATTATTAGTATTGATTAATGTTAATTGACCAGTATTTGAATCAATAGTATATGAATAATCTTTATGATAATTAAGAATAAATTGATTTTTAATCGAATCATATCGTGCTATTTCTTTATATTGATTTAAATGATTATTATTTAATGATATTTGGCGTATTAACCATGTTGTATGATTACAAACAGAAGATTTTTGTTGATTTATTGAAATAATCGATAATAAAGAATCAATCAGTGTAAAATTTGGTGTATAAAAAATAATATTTTGACCATTTTCATACGTTTTGGTATAACGATTAAGATCTAAAATAAACTAAAATTATTGTTTTTTCTTTTTTCTTTGTGATTCATTTAAATTTTACTTTGAAGAGAAGAACTATGTACATCTCGTTTGATTATATTAACAAAGTGTTTTTCTTGATCATTGAGTTGTACAATATTGAAATTCTAAATAAAATCAGCATGAATTTTTTGTTTTGTTTTTCTTTTATGACATTTGATTTATATCTACTTGTACAATGAATAGTAAATGCAGAACGATTTGCATATTGTATCAAATTCTTAGCGCTCTATTTTTATTGTTAATTTAAACATTCTAACATAAAAAATCAACTATATTAACATGAATGAGTATGATGATAATGAAAAACAAGAAGTAGCAAAAGAAGAAGAAGAAGAAGAAGAAGAAAATGATGAAAAAGATCTTAGTTCTGTACATCAAGATGAAACTAATGATCAAACATTTAAACAATTAAATAATGAAGAAACTAAACTTCAAAATGATTTAGCTAATGAACTTAAATATAATCTAAAAATTCCGATTACTGATGAACCTCCTAATATTGGTCCAACACCATATAAAGTGGCTATTGTTGGAATGAATGAATTAGGATCAGCTACAGCATTTTTACTTATTTGTAGACAAATTGTAACTGATGTTGTTATTATTGATCGAAATACTAAACGATTAGCTGGTATAAAATTTTCTTTTTTTTTTTTATAGATGAAATCATTTTGTTTGTTTGTTTTTTCTTGTTTACTTCATTTTAGCTGAATATGCTGATTTAAGTACCTGCACAACATTTGTTTCAGGTGTCAATGTACAAGCA